TTGAGAGTAAATACAATGGTTGAGTATGAACTACGAATCTTCGCTAAATAAAATTTAAAAGAAACAGAATCAAATAAACTGTTCTATTAATAACTAAAAATTTTCATGTATTTTGGCACAGCCAGCTTTGTAATAAAAAGTAATAATATAATTAGACATTTAACCAACTGCTCAATTTACCCTTCTTTAGCCAACAATTCTTTTTTGTTACTTTTATTATTATTTATTTTAAATCAAATAATTTCAATTTTGCATATAAAAGAAAAGCAAAACTAATGAGACATTTTGAAAAATTTGATTATAATAGATTATATGTTATAGTTATTAAATAAGAAATTAGCTGCGTAAGTATAAATGACACATTAGTCTTGAGAATCATATTTTTTTTAATGCTCTTTTTGCATGTTTACAGCTAATTATTACACACACAAATATTGACACCGTATTATGAGATCTTAACGTTCTGTCGGAGATTTCAGTATCAGATTATCAACTACACTTTGAGCAATGACTATAAAATATCATGAACCTTTCCATCGATCTACCCGCCTCTCTTTATGCAGATAAGGAGAATACGCAAATTCTCAGTGATTTAACGATTATACATTTAAACAAAAACCGATAAAATCGAGTAAAAACGTTAAAAAAAATATAAAAAAGACAGAAAAATCGAATTAAATCTGTTTTCGAATCGCGATTTTACGATTTACAAGCAAAATCCAATAATTCAATGTTTAGAGAAGATCAAACGCGACCAAAATGTCATTGCTCGAAACGTATCTTTAAGAAAAAACCCCGAAGAACCTTTTCGCACGTGTCTTTGTAAATATGTACGTACCTCGTTTACACATACCTATCCAGTCTTTCAAGTACAACACTTCCGATACATGATTCAATAATTAATTGAGGCTCTGAAAGAATTGATGATTAAAGTCATCTTTAAAGTTTCTTAAAGCTTCACAGCTTTGAGAATTTTTGAAACGTTGAAGTTATAAAGTATCTTAAATTATTATATACAAAATTATTAAATTATTTATTAATTATATTTATTAAATAAATAGGAAATTAGTTAATATTTAATAAATTGTGAACTATATATATTTAATAGTAAATTATTATATGTATCATATACATACACAAAGTAGTACGAAAATTTTATTATTAATGGCTTTTTAATAATGACTATTTTTAATTTTGTAACAAACAAGACAATGGCTCCTGCAAATTAAAAAAAATTAATTGTGCTAGTATTTACATATTTACATATCGACCTATTTATATATTTACTTGATGTTCGCATGATGTTGTAAAAATACTTCAGCTTGATGGATTCCCGTCTCGTAAGCTCCGTGAGTTGTCGAGTAAAACTCGTCATGCGTAGCTTCGCCGGCGAACAGTATGACTGGTAAATTCTGCCATATTTGCAAAAATTTATAAATTAGACAAAAATTTTTTTCGTAATTTTGCGTTATCTTAATAACATAGCATCAAAAGTCTTGAAAACCCATCACACAGATCATTGATATCTTTTAGGACTGGAAAATTTAAGATTGGAAAAATGCGTTGTACTATGATCTCACCTTTTTCCTCTTCGTGTTATTTTGCAACATTGT